GAACTCCTGAGCTCAAACAATCCGCCCGCCTCGGCCTCCCAGAGAGCTAGGATTACAGGCGTGAGCCACTGCGCCCGGCCCCTCTGGTATTTCTTAAGGCTTATTTTCCAAACATTATAGGCACAAGTGTAACAATAACAATATCAACAAAACTGTGATTTTTTCCAAATAGAACTCTATGTTTTTCTGATATGTGCTCACTGTAAAATATGCCAACAAAGAATAGAAACTACAATATTATTTCAAAATTTAAAAACTGTATTATCCATATTCTTCTATAACCTACTACTTTAAATCTATATTATAGATACTCTCTTATGTCAATACATACAGGTTGTCCTAGCCAAATTTGCACTGCTATAACAGAAAACCACAGATTGGGTACTTCAGAAAGAAAAGAAATTTGTTTCTCACAGTTTTGGAGGCTGGGAAGTCCAAGAGCATGGTACTGGCATATAGTGAGGGCCTTCTTGACATGTCATAACATGGCAGAAAAACATCATATGACAAGAGCCAGAGACACAGAGAAAAAGGAGGCTAATCTCCCAAGGTAACTAATACACTCTCATGATAATGGCAGTAATCCACTCACCAGGGCAGAGCCCTCATAATTTAATATCTTAGTCTGTTTTGTGTTGCTACAAAGGAATACGTGAGACTGGGTAATTTATAAAGAAAAAAGGTTTATTTGGGTCACAGCTCCACAAACAGTACAAGAAGTATGGCACCAGCATCTGTTTCTGGTGAGGGTTTCAGGGAGCTTCCAATCAAGGTGGAAAGTGAAGGGGGAGCAGGAATGTCATATGGTGAGAGAAGGAACAAGAGAGAGAACAGAGGAGCCACACTCTTTAAACAGCCAGCTCTCGCATCAACTAACAGAGCAAGAACTAAGTCATTACCATGGGGAGGACATCAATCCATTCATGAGAGATCTACCCCTCATGATCCAAATACCTCCCACTAGGCCCCACCTTGAACACTGGAGATCAAATTTCAACATGAGATTTGGAGGGGACAAACACTGCAACTATATCAACTAATCAACCCATTAAAGGCCCCACCTCTCAATACTGTTACAATGGCAATTAAATTTCAACATGAGTTTTGTAGGGGACATTAAAACCATAACACTCTGCTCCTGGCCCCCCAAAACTCATGTACTTCTTGAAATACAAAATACATTCATTTCATCCAAATAGCCCCCAAATCTTAACTCCTTAACTCAATCCAGCATCAACTTAAAAGTCCAAAGTCCAGAGTCTCATCTAAATCAGATATAGGTGAAACTGGCCAGGC